TAAGACTTCAACCTCAATGTTTATTTAAATAATCTTACATTTTTATAATTTGCTCTCACAGTCTATCCCCAGCTAGACAGGAGTACTAGGTAGACTATTGAACATCGGTCTGTTCCATGAACACCTCATACTCGACATATTCAGAACCAACATACTGGGTTCCCTTCAAACCTGCTGCTTCTCATTTATTATGAGTTTACCCACCTGCATGGTAACTCCAGCAATAACCTTGTAGTCATCTTTTATTCTTCTCTTTCCCACAATCAGAGACCGTACCCTGGATTCCACTCTATGATGCTTCGTACCTTCTTCTTCTCCTTCAGGAGCAACCTCTCTTCTGCAGATCTGCATTTTCCCTCAATAGCCTGCCCAAAGAGCTTCTTACCCAGCAGTCATAGCACCACTCCCCACTGCTCATTGCACTTCCTAAAGCTTGGCTTTGATCATGTCATCCTCCAGTTCAAAAAACTTTAATGCTCCACATTGCTTATGAAATTAAAACCAAACTCATCTTATTTTTCAGTGTATATGCTGATGGCTTCATCTACCATCTACTTCCCTCTAGCAAAACCAGAGCACTCACTCTTCTCAAAGATGCCCTTTGTTGACTGGACATGGTGACTCACACCTGTAATCCCAGCACTTTGGGAGGCCAAAGCAGGAGAATCACCTGAGGCCAGGAGTTCAAGACCTCCAGGTGATTGCAGCATAGCAAAACCCTGTCCCTAAAAAAAATTAATATAATTATTTTTTTTAACAAAAGATGTCCTTTGTTTTCCGATTTATGTGCCTCTCTTCAAACTTTTTTCTCCACTTGAAAAATACTTTTCAGAGCCGGGCTTGGTGGCTCAGCCTGTAATCCCGCGCCTTTGGGAGGCTGAGGTGAGTGGATTGCCTGAGCCCGAGGGTTCGAGACCCGCCTGGGCAACTTGGCAAGACCTCATCTCTACAATAAATGAAAATCTAGCCAGGCGTGGTAGTGCATGTCTGTAGTTCCAGCTACTTGGAAGGCTGAAGCGGAAGGATCGCCGGAGCCCAGCAGGCCGAAGCTGCGGTGGCCAGGAGCAGCCACTGCACTCCAGTCTGGGGGACAGAGTGAGATTCTAACTCAAAAAAAAAAGAAAAATACTTTTCGATTTTGCAGATGCCACTGCCTTGAGCCTTTTCCCATCAGCCATGGTCAACCCCACCGTGTTCTTTAACATCGCCGTCGACAGGGCCACGTCTCCTTCGAGCTGTTTGCAGACAAAGTTCCAAAGACAGCAGAAAACTTTCATGCTCTGAGCACTGGAGAGAAAGTATTCGGTTATAAGGGTTCCTGCTTTCACTGAATTATTCCAGGGTTTATGTGCCAGGGTGGTGACTTTACATGCCGTAATGGCACTGGCGGCAAGTCCATCTATGGGGAGAAATTTGATGATGAGAACTTCATCTTGAAGCATACAGGTCCCAGCATCTTGTCCATGGCAAATGCTGGACCCAACACAAACGGTTCCCAGTTTTTCATCTGCACTACTAAGACTGAACGGTTAGATGGCAAGCATGTGGTTTTTCAGCAAGGTGAAAGAGGGCATGAATGTTGTACAAGCCACAGAGGGCTTTGGGTTCAAGAATGGCAAGACCAGCAAGAGGATCACCATTGCTGACTGTGAACAACTCTAATAAATTTGACTTGTTTTATCTTAAACTACCAGATCATTCCTTCTGTAGCTCAGGAGAGCACCCCCTCCATCCCATTTGCTCGCAGTATCCCTATAATCTTTGTGCTCTCACTACAATTCTTTGGGTTCCATATTTTCCTTATTTCCTTCCACGTCTAGTTGGATTGCAGAGAAATAAAAACTAAATCACAACAACAACAAAAAAGAAAAGTACTTTTCACCCATTCCTCATTTCCACTAATTGAGAGCTACCTATCTTCAAGGTCAACTTTAGATTTTACTTTCTTTAAGAAATCATTCTGGCTCCCCCACCCCAGCTGGATGTGATTGTCCCACCATTGAACTCCTATGCCCTGACTTGCTAAATAGTACCATTATTTCTCTGCTTGTCTTATGCTACTCAGTATATTGACAACTCCATAAGTCTAGGAACAGTGTCTTATTCATCTCTACTTCACCTGCAGTGCCTAGCTCAATTCTTGCATATATAATACACATAATTATTGAAGTGCTTCTGAGTGAGTTTTGAAGAAGGGTAAGAAAGAAAGTGGAGCAGTTTCTGGCTTCTGAAAGGGTGACTTTGCATAGAAATTATATTTTAGGTCCTGGAGAGCAACTTTACACACTTGGTAATTTTGTTTAAGACTGTAGCTAAGGATAAGTATGTTGGCAATGATGGAAATCTATATTGGAGGAAGGAAGACAGGCCCATTGCACCAGCATCCATTTGGATAAAATTGTGTGCGGGAACTTACAGGCAGGCAGGCAGGGCAGCATGAAACTGTTGGGTCCCGGGGATCTTGGGAATGTCTTCAGGTCCTGGAATGCTTCAGGGCAGATGAGAGCACTGGGCCAGAGAATTCTAGAAGAGGTAAATGAGGTAATAAAACTAACTGCCTGTTTCACCATTCCACATACACTAAAATAGCACTATTTTAGCCTTGTTTAGGTTTCTGTATATACATAAAGCTAACTATAGATCAATTGCCCAATCAGTCATTACATTATTATTGAGTGCTTTCAATATATCAGGCACTTGTGCTGTGCTGGGTGCTGAAGATAAATAAAAAAAGACAAAAGTTCCTTCCCTCATGGACCTTCCTTTTTAGTGGGAGAAGAGAAGAGGTAAACAGAATACCTAGGTAAAATACAGAGCTGTTAGAAGGTGAAAAATCCTCTAGATAAAAATAAAGCAAGTTATGAAGGTTGAAGTGTTAGAATTTTAAGCAGAGTGGTCAGGACTTGCTAAGAAGGTAGATGATACCTGAGCAAAGATGTGGAAAATTTTAAAGATAGAATCTCAAGAACTTTATGATATATTAGATGTGGGACATGAAGGAAGAAAAGAGTCAAGGATGACTCCGAAGTTATTTGCCCAAGCAATTAGAAAAAAATAGTGTGACTTATTAATGAAGATTATTAAAGGCAGCATAGGTCAGGAGAGCAGAGACAATAAGGGTTGAGTTTTGGATCTGTAAATCTTGTGATGTCTATCAGACATCTACATGGAGTCTGGAGGTCAGGAGAGAGTATAAGCCGGAGATATACATTTGGGAGTCATCAAGTTATAGACAGTATCTGAAGCCATGAGACTGGATGAGATCCACAAAGGAGTGGCTCTAGAGAAGAGACAAGGTCCAAGGACTGATCTCGAACCACTCCAACATTCAGAGGTCCTAGAGAAGAGAAGGAACCAGCAAAGGAGACTGAGAAGGAACAAGTGAGGTAGGGGGCAAATCAGATGGGTGAGTTGTCCTGGGAACTAAGATCAAAGGTGTGTGAAGGAGGAGGGAGTGAGCAACTGGGTCAAATGTTGCATACAGGTCAAGTTAGATGCAAAATAACCTCTGGATTTAGCAACATGAAGGCCATTGGTGACATTGACAAAAACAGTTGCAATGGGTGATGGGATAAGAAAGCCTAACTAAAGAAGGTTTGAGAATTGAAGAAGAAAAATTGAAAAGATTGAGTATAGATGTCTCTTTTTGATATAGAAAGTTTGCATTTTTTAAAAATGCTGATTGTTCAGACTTTTTTATTACTCCAACCCTGTGTCCACAGCAAACTGAATACGTCAAATTCTACTTGTGCAATCTCCCTAAAAAATCACAACGTTTTTGTGAAGTAGGTTTCGGCAGTTTTAAGTCTGGCACTCTCTTTGTTAACAGAAGAAAAACAATCACTGACTTCAGTACGTTTGCAGTTCAAAGTATTTTAACTGTTACAATCAATTTTGATCTTGAAACTTCACACACACACACTCACCCCAAAACGATGACGTAATAGTTTTAAGTTTGACATTTACCTCTTGTAAATAACATTTACTGATTCCAAATATTTTATTATAGATTAGTTCTTTTCTCATGCCGTAGCCACAACTTACTCATCTTAAATTTGAAGTTTTAAATGATGTTTCTCATTCCATAGACATTTGACTGCCTTTTCTACGTGTAGACACAGGTTCATGTTGTCAACAGATGAGCACTGAATCTCAGAAAACATTAAGCCTGGGATTAAAAGTAGGGTAGGGAAAGCTGTCAGGAAAACATGCTAATCTAATGTATCAGAAGAGGACAGGGTCTAATTCATACTTAGAACTGCTAGGGTGCTTGTGATGTCATTTTGTTGTAACATTAAAGCCAAGAGTCTTCTCCACCCAAAGGCAATGCCAATTTCCCAGAAGGCTCATTTCTCAGAGCCAAAGCTCCAAAGATGCCAGTGCACCCATGCTGATAGTTAGTCTCATGTTATTTCTCAATTTTATGCTTAATTTGCTCCTTTTGGTTTTATGTATTTTGACACAGCCAAGTGTATGTGGGGATTTCCCCATAGTCCTTTAAATGCTATAAAACTTTAATATAGGGAGATAAAAACCATAATATGCCATGCCTCCAAGCCCTCACATTTCGTTCTTTATTTGAGTTAGACGATAACCAGTTTTAGATACTGATTTAGATTGTTAAGTACTTGCACTGTTTTAAATGCCCTTCTCTCCCACCCAAATGAAAATTATATTCTACCCTTAACCTGGACATGCAACTCCCACTGATTGTACAAAATGGCATCTTTACAATTCTTAAATTATCATCATAATGGCCTACATCGTGTATGAGCCAATGCAATTTAATATGGTTCAGAAGAAAGCCAAGATGGGTGTCCAATTCCCAATTTTAGGCATGCAACCCTGGAATGTCTTTTGGAAAAAATGAAATAATGCTACGGTAGGCTGCTAGGTTAGTCTGATTTCAGCATAATTGCCTTCTCTCAGCTTCCTAATACCCTTAAAACCTCTGAGAGTCTTTAATGTACAAAGTTCAACAAAAACACCTTCAAAACAGATTAGTTCTAATTATGTTTAATATTTGTTTGCTGCTTTATTGAATAAACTACATTTGCTTTAAAAAAAAAAAAAAAGGAAATTCACTTAACTGCATGTCAGTCACCCAAATTTTAAGTGTACAAATGAAATGGAAAACATTTATTACACAAATTTAATTACAATTCTAAGAAATAAACATGCAAATTAGATAGAGTTCAATTTGCAGATGCTAATCCTCATCCTTGATCTTGTTCCTTCCCTCCCTGCTTTTCAGTCTGCATCTCCTTGATTCCTAGGGAGCCAGGCAGCCAGAGGTTTGGTTTTTCACAGTCGGAGGATCACTGTTTTAAAGAAGTGTTATATTTAGCACATCTGGCATAGTAGCAGTAAACAAACATTATAGTCTTTGTAACACTTTTGTGCAGGTGCCTTCTCCCGATTTTATTAGATCTATGCCTACAAGCCTCTGCCTTCATTACACCTGAAATGACCCATCTCGAATATGGAGGGGTCCCTAGACAGAAGTTATGAATTAATGTTTTAAAAAAGAAACTCCAATTGAGACCCGTATAGGGGGAAATTACTATTTGCAAAATATTCTGATTCTGAGGCTTAAGTTACATTCTCTTGAGCAAGGACAACCTCCTTTATTACTTTGTATTTCCTGGAGGTTTTCCCTGGAGCCTCCCCACCCAGAAAGAGTTGCCAATTCAAGTTGCAGCAGGACCAAGGTTGCTTTTTTTCTGCATATGCAGCTCAGGAGCGGAAC